TTAAGAGACTGAGCTGAATACAGCTCCTCAGACTGAGGAAGTCTCTTGGATGAGAGACGAAACGTTTCTAGATTTTTTTTTTTTTTTTTTTGAATGTCCAAAGGACCAGATTGAACTTTTTTTGGATTTATATATAAAAATAATAATTTAATATTATTTAACTGAGGAGCAGCTCTGAGTTTAACTCCATCACAGAACTCTCATCTTGAACAAGCATGAAGGCGACAGTGGAAAGAAACAACTCCCTCATGAGGAAGAAACCTTTAGCAGAACCAGGTTCAGGACAAGTGGACATCTGCTTCGACCAGCTGGGTTTGGTAGGAACAGATACACAATGGCAGGTCAAGAATCACATGTTGATAGAAATAGTATCAAATGAAAACTACTCAATTTTAATAATTCATTTAAGGAAATGAGGTCAATTTGTCCTCTAGTAGTCTAAACTTAAAACAGCACGAAAAGCCGACCCTAACTATATAATTGATCAAAAAGGAAAGTTTTAAGTCCAGTCTTAAATCTGGACAATGTGTCAGCCTCACGGACAGAAACTGGAAGTTGGTTCCACAAGAGAGAAGCCTGAAAACTGAAAGATCTGTTTTGTTCTGGTTTTGTTAATTCTAGGAACCACAAGTAAACCTGCAGTCTGAGAGCAAAGTGTTCTGTTAGGAAAATATGGAACAATAAGATCTGTAATATAAGATGGAGCTAGGTTGTTGAGAGATTTGTAGGTTAGAAGTAAGATTTTGATTTTTGTTTTTGTTTTTCATTTACCCTTTATTTATACATGTCTCATTGAGCCACGAGAACTCATTTTCAAGAGAGACCTGTTTTAGGGAGCAGATGGTGGGGGTTAAGGGCCTTGCTCAGGGGCCCAAAGTGGTGCAAATGAGGGTGGAGGCAGGTTTGGGTGTTTCACCTTTTCCACCCACATTTTGATGTTGACAGTACTGGGAGTTGAACCTGCGACTTTCTGATCACAGGCCCATCTTCTAACCTCTGCGCCACCACTGTCCCCACGATTCTATTCTGGATATGACAGGGAGCCAATGGAGAGAAGCTAAAACTGGAGATATGATCTCTCCCAGTAACTCCAGTTAAGACTCTGGCAGCAGCATTTTGGATCAACCGAAGATGTTTTAAAGAAGTATTTGCACACCCAGATAATAAACCATTGCAATAGTCCAGTCTAGACGTGACAAATGCATGGACCTGCATCATTTTTAGATGTTTCTAATTTTAGTGATATTACGCAGTTGGAAGAAGGCAGTTCTAGTAATGTTTTTAATGTGGGGGATAAAAGTCAAGTCAAATTAATTTATGTAGCACGTTTAAAACAGGAACAGTTACCAAAGTGCATTAACAAAAGACAGAGACATGGGAAGACTCGGCTGCAGCCACTGAGCGGCATCACGTACGCTCAACAAAGCTCAGCGGAGCTCCTAATATCAGCTGATTGCACAAGTTCGTATATTTCTTGTCAAAGGTTTTTTATTAACTTCAAATCAGTTAGTTTACGTTGTTTTGGCCGAAGGTTTTTCCTTGACATGTCCTGATCAAAAATAACACCAAGATTTTTAACATTAGAGCAGGAGGACAGATTAATGCCATCTAAGGAGGGAGAAAGACTGAAACATTCATTCCTAAGGTGCTCAGGTCCAAAAACCAAACTCTCAGTCTTGTCTGTTCAACAGGAGAAAATTAAGGGTCATCCAGGTTTTTATGTCTTTAAGATATGCTTGTAGTCTAAGTAGCTGATTGGATTCATTGGGTTTAATGGACAAATATAATTGTGTGTCATCAGCATAACAATGAAAATTTATCCCATGCTGTTTAATAATTTTACCTAATGGAAGCATATACAAGGTAAAGAGTATTTATCCAAGCAGTGAACCCTGAGGAACTCAATGATTAACTTTGATGTATGTAGAAGATTCATTATATACATTTACAAATTGGAATCTATCAGATAGATATGATTTCAACAAGAAGAATCCGTCCAGAGGACCTGACTTAACCTTGTTAGAGTTATCTTCCTGGGTTATTGATCATGCATCAGGACATTTAAAAGTTTATGTTTAAATAAAGTTTTAGTTAAAGCAGTGTAGTGGGGGGAGGTCAGAGCTCTTGATGTTCTTGTATGCTTACAGATGGTCTCGTTGTGTGCCACTTGCCATTTGGACCCACAGCCTATTTCACACTTTACAATGTGGTAATGAGGCACGATGTTCCTGACATAGGCACCATGTCTGAGGCCTTCCCCCACCTCATTTTTCACAACTTCACCTCACGGCTCGGCAGCAGGGTGAGTGTTGACTCTGCACTGCGCAGCACACACTGCTGATATTGGTTTTCACCCTTTGTTTGTGCATAAAACTAATTAATTGTTCTCACACAGGTATCGAATATCCTCAAGTATCTTTTTCCAGTGCCGAAGGAAGACAGCAGGCGTGTAATCACTTTTGCCAACCAGGAGGACTACATCTCTTTCAGGTCAGTGTGAAAAAAGCTCCTTTTATCGCACACTGCTGCAAAGCTTTGTGTGTTTCTGAGTGGTATCTCAGTAAAATGGATGGATTTGAATGAAACTCAAAGATGGCTGCAAGTCACGTAAGTTTACAGATTTTGAGCAGAAGTTTGGTGTGGTAGTAGCTCATCCTCAACACACACACTGCGCTAACACATTTTATGAGAACACGCAAACCTTTTTCAAGGTTTGTCCAAAAATGACTAGTGTCATTTAGGGCTGGATGATATGGCCAAAACTTTTATCGTGATACACACTTGGACAGAATTGTAGGTACCCCTCGGTTAATGAAAGAAAAACCCACAATGGTCACAGAAATAATATGAATCTGACAAAAGTAATAATAAATAAAAATTCTATGAACATGAACAAATGGAAGTCAGACATTGCTTTTCAACCATGCTTCAAGAGAATTATTTTAAAAAAATTATCTCATGAAACAGGCCTGGACAGAAATGACGGTACCCCTGAAAATAATGTGAACAAAGGGACATGTTAAATCAAGGTGTGTCACTAATTAACATCACAGGTGTCTATAACCTTGTAATCAGTCAGTGGGCCTATATATAGGGCTACAGGTAGTCACTGTGCTGTTTGGTGACATGGTGTGCACCATACTCAACATGGACCAGAGGAAGTGAAGAAAAGAGTTGTCTCAGGAGATTAGAAAGAAAATTATAGACAAGCATGTTAAAGGTAAAGGTTATAAGACCATCTCCGAGCAGCTTGATGTTCCTGTGACTACAGCTGCACATATTATTCAGAAATGTAAGATCCATGGGATCCTGTGGCCGCAGGAGGAAAATTGATGACAAATCAAAGAGACAGATAATACGAATGGTAACAAAAGAGCCCAGAAAAACTTCTGAAGAGATTAAAGGTGAACTTCAAGCTCAAGGAACATCAGTGTCAGCTCGCACCATCCGTCATCGTTTGAGCCAAAGTGGACTTAATGGGAGACGACCAAGGAGGACACCATTGTTGAAAACAAATAAAAAAGCCATACTGGAATTTGCCAAACTACATGTTGACAAGCCACAAAGCTTCTGGGAGAATGTCGTATGGACAGATGAGACAAAAGTTGAACTTTTTGGCAAGGCACAGCAGCTCTATGTTCACAGATGGAAAAATGAAGCATATCAAGAAAAGAACACTGTCCCTGCTGTGAAACATGGAGGAGGCTCTGTTATGTTCTGGGGGTGGGGTGTCGAATCTGTGCAGGGTACAATGAAATCTCAAGACTATCAAGGGATTCTGGAGAGAAATGTGCTGCCCAGTGTCAGAAAGCTTGGTCTCAGTCGCAGGTCATGGGTCTTGCAACAGGATAATGACCCAAAACACACAGCTACAAACAAGAATGACTAAGCGGAAAACATGGAACTTTTCTGAAGTAGCCTTGTATGAGCCCTCACCTAGATCCTATTGAGCATCTTTGGAAGGGGCTGAAACATGCTGTCTGGAAAAGGCACCCTTCAAACCTGAGACAACTGGAGCAGTTTGCTCATCAGGAGTGGGCAACATGCCTGCTGAGAGGTACAGAAGTCTTGCTACAGGAACCCTTGGATTGCAGTGATTGCCTCAAAAGGTTGTGCAACAAAATATTAAGTTAAGGGTACCGTCATTTCTGTCCAGGCCTGTTTCATGAGGTTTCTTTTTTTTTAATAATTCTCTTGAAGCATGGTTGAAAAGCAATGTTTGTCTTTCATTTGTTCATTTTCATAGAATTTTTATTTATTATTACTTTTGTCAGATTCAAATTATTTCTGTGACCATTGTGGGTTTTTCTTTCATTAACCGAGGGGTACCTACAATTTTGTCCACGTATGTATACTTCTTCATCCATCCATCCATCCATTATCTTTACCCGCTTATTCCATTTTGGGTCATGGGGGTCGCTGGTGCCCATGTCCAGCAATCACTGTGTGAGGGGCGGGGTACACCCTGGACGGGTCTCCAGTCCATCACAGGGACACATAGAGACAAACGAGACAAACAACCATTCACTCTCTCACTCACACCTAGAACTCACTTTTTTTTCTTTCCATAAAGTAATAGCAAAAATATATTTGACTCAAAGCTTTTTCCCAGTTGTTACACAGGCACATTTATTAACAACAGCTGTAACTCTACAAAATAAATGTCTAAAAGATAATCTATTTACATACAGACCCTTTCCAAAAAAAATTAATATCATGGAAAAGTTGTTTAACTTCCATAATTCCATTCAAAAAGTTAATCTTTAATAGATGATAGATTCAGGGCCCACAATTTAAATGATTTCAAGTATTTATTTGTTTATTTTTACATAATTTGGGTTTCCAGCTCATGAAACTCACAAAAACTGGATTTCAAAAAATTAGAATACAGTGGAGAAATCAGCCCAAATTTTGCAGGGCATGAATGTTTTAAACTGAGTGTGACACTAATCATCTACTAAACTCAAAGCACCTGCACAGCTGAGTGTCTTTAAATTGTCTCAGTTCGGTTCAATATGGGGAATACTGCAGACAACTGGCCAGAAGACCATCATTGATAGGGCATTAACAGAGTACTCGAGTAATCTACACATCGATGCTAGGACATCTATCGAGGTTAAAAATGTAAAGTCGTATCCGTAGTGACGTCATATTATGTGACCACCGTATGACCGTAGGGGGCGGTGTTGCACTGTTGCAGGTCACAGAGTATGGTGTAACACCGGGTCCTATCCACCGAACCAGAACCAGTTTCGGTTTAAGTTTCGTTTTTGACGTGCTGCGTTTCTTCACGTTTGCAGTTTAATAATAAAAACTAATGGTTTAGTTTTTCCTGTGACTTATTTGCAGTATGATAAATGGTAGGAGCATAATATACACTCCCAATGTTTTGTTGGTCTTTTTTTTTGTAAATAATTACCTTTCTTTGCAGTTTTATTTATTTATTTATTTTTGTATCTTGAGATCTATGATGTCATCAAATACTCGAATTCTACTTGGGTTTTATTATGTTAATGTTGAGTTTAAAAATTATATACTCGTTCAACCCCTAATCACTGATACCCTCCATAGGATGGGTAAGCCACAACAGTTCATAGCTAAGGAGGCTGGCTGTTCACAGAGCGCTGTGTCCAAGCATATCAATGGAAAGTCTAGTGGAAGGGCAACATGTGGCAGGAGAAGCTGCACCAGCAAAAGAGGTGACAGTGGGCTTCAGCGGATTATCAAACAGAGAAGATTCCAGAATCTGGCAGAGATCCAGAAAGAGTGGAATGAGGCGGGAGTCACATCTTCAAAAACCACCACATTCAGATGCATCCAGGAGATGGGCTACAACTGTTGGGTTCCTCTGTCCTCTTTTCAGATGAAAGTAAAGTGTGCCTTTCATTTGGAAATCAAGGTCCAAGGGTTTGGAGGAAGAAGGGTGAGGAACAGAACCCATACTGCTTGAGGTCCAGTGTGAAATATCCACAGTCAGTCATGATTTGGGGTGCAATGTCCGGTGCAGGTGTTGGTAAACTCTGCTTTCTTAAATCCAAGGTCACCGCAACAGTCTACCAGAATCCAACATTTTTCAATCAGCTCATCTGGACAGTTTCTTTTTTTGTGCTGAAATGTTTCGCCTTCGATCCAGAAGGCTTCATCAGTCAAGGAAACACACAACAAAACTGATTCTTCCCCCAACAGCTTACTCCAAAGTGGAACAAACCAGTTCTGCTTGTGATTAGATGGTCTCTTTGGTACGCCCCTCCTCCATTGCTGGCCCTCTTCCTTCTTGACAGTCTTGTCAAACTGGTTGAAAACTGAGCATTGAGCATGGACTTTGTAGTCTACCAGAATGTTTTAGAGGACTTCATGATTACTTCTGCTGAGGATCTGAATGGAAATGCAGATTTCATCTTCCAGCAGAACCTGGCCCCTGCCCATGCCACCAGAAGCACCAAAACCTGGTTTGTTGCCCATGCCGCAGTGCTTGACTGGCCAGCCAACTCATCGGATCTAAACCCCACTGAGAATCTTTGGGGTATTCTCAAGAGGAACATGAGGTGCACCAGACCCAACAACAAAGAAGAGCTGACAGCAAGCATCAAGGAAATCTGGGCTTCCATAACTCCCAGGCAATGCCACAGGCTGACTGCCTCAATGCCACGTCACATCGAGGCAGAGATTGTGGCAAAGAGATTCCAAACCAAGTATTGAAGATTGACATATCGTTTTGAAAGTACCATATTTTGATTGATTTCTTGTAAATGGTAAATGGACTGTACTTATATAGCGCCTTTCTATCTTATTTCAAGATACTCAAAGCACTTTACAACAATCTGTGCCTCGTTTACCCATTCATACAGCTCTATACTAGATCTACACAAAGCTAATAGAACAAATCATTCTAAAGAGACTAATCAGAGCTTTAGATCACATTCATACACTGATGGGACACACATCAGAGGCTACGAGGGGTTCAGTGTCTTGCCCAGGGACGCTTCAGCATGTGACTGCTGGTAGAATCGAACCCCCAACTCACGCGTTCGTGGATGACTGCTCTAACCACTCAACCACAGCTGCCCTAATTTCTTTTTTTTTTTCTGCAAAAACTGAGAAGTGTGGGCTGATGTCTCCACAGTATTCAAATTTTTTTTTAAATCCTGTTTTCGTGGGTTTCATGAGCTGGAAACTCAAACCATGTAAAAAAAATTAAATAAATAAATACTTGAAATTTTTTAAATTTTGGGCCCTGAATCTATCATCTATTAAATATTAACTTTTTGAATAGAATTATGGAAGTTAAACAACTTTTCCATAATATTCAAATTTTTGGAAAGGGTCTGTATATTATAGTTTGTTTTTTAGACATTTATTTACATATATAAGTGCAAGTTGTGCTTGTGCAAACAAAAATATATTTGAGTCAAAGCTTTGTCCCAGTTGTCACACAGCCACATTTATTAACAACAACTGTAACTGTACAAAATAAATATCTAATGAATACAACTATTTACATTTATTAACATTTGTTTTTTAGACATTTATTTACATATATTAAATAATAATCCTCGTCAGCTGTGCTGTCTTAACGTTCGTAAGCGTGTGTGAAGCAGCATGGAGGGGCTGCGTGTCTTCAGCGAGGGAGGAGGCTGCGTGAAATTGGACGGGCAAAAGAAGTACTGTACACAGATGTTCAAGTCTTACAGTGAGCTTTAATGCTGCATCACCCCTCTGTTCCTCTCATAAGGCACAGCACAGCTAAATGAGTTCTGACCCGTGGTTTGTCAGGGAAGGAGGCTGAGGTCTTTCGGACCTGCAGCTTCACACGCATCCATTTATGCCCCTTTTCCATTAGTAACGGTACAGCTCGACTCGACTCAGCACAGTTCCAAGGCGTTTCCATTAGTAACGCTACGTAGAACAGGTCCCTTTTTTCAGAACCCTTGGCTCTGTGGTTCCAACTGGGCCGAGCAGGTACCAAAATGTGATGTCAGAACACTGTTGGTCACTGATTGGTCAGGGGGAGGAGTCAGTGGATCTTTCAGAAACTTTTCAAAACACTGATCCGCCATTCGCAATTTCTCATAACTCAGAGCAGCGGCTGGACCTATTTTAAAGATTTTAAAAACCATAATGACAACACCGTGGTCTTATGCCGACTCGGGGCTCAGGATCCCGGCCTTGCATGCTCTGCGGGCTCCGAGCTCCTCTATTCATCGCGGAGGATCATACGAGCGGCTGAATTGCAGAAGGCCGTTGCCCGGACCCCAGCCTTACGTTATCACGAAGGCTGAACCCCGATCCCGGCAGACGGGTCTGGCACACGGAGGATGGGGATGATTTTTTAAAAGATTTTATTTAATGTTTTTTTTTTTTATCAGTGAAGATTCAAAAAATAAATAAACTGTGCCGGCTTTATCATGAAATCCTGTTTTCACTTTAATGAGTATTAAATAATCTGTTAAAGTTAACTCAGCTGAAAAATCATAAAAAGACAAAATTATTGGATCTCTCAGGAATATTTCCCTCCAACATGTTTAAAGAAGAGACACAGCCTTTAGTTCAACTTTATTCTGACCCACAGATGTACAAATCACAAAACAAAAACTTCAAAGCTGAAAATAATTTAAAAAAAAATCTGTAAACAAGAAACAAAACCACACATATCTAAATTGAACAATAAAAGTAGACACAATGAGTGCAAATACATCAAATGATGACGAAAACCTATAAAATTTTAAATATACTGTAGATGTTTTTGTAGAATCTGCTTCATCAAAGATTTAATGGTGAACTAAAGTTCATTAAAAGTTCATTAGCAGGATTTATATATATATATATATATGTATATATATATAAATATGTGTGTGTACGTATATGTATATATGTATGTATATGTATATGTGTATGTATATGTATATATGTATGTATATGTGTATGTATATATATGTATATGTGTATGTATATATATGTGTATGTATATGTGTATGTATATATGTATGTATGTGTATGTATATATATATGTGTATGTATATGTGTATGTATATATGTATGTATATGTGTATGTATATATGTATGTATGTGTATGTATATATGTATATGTGTATGTATATATGTATATATATATATGTATATATATATGCATATATATATATGTATATGTATATATGAATATATATGTATATGTATATATGTATATGTATATATATATATATATATATATGTATATATGTATATATATGTATATATGTATATATATATATGTATTTGTATATATGTATATATGTATTTGTATATATGTATATATGTATATATATATATATGTATATATGTATATATATATATATATGTATATATGTATATATATGTATATGTATATATATATTTATATATGTATATGTATATATATGTATATATGTGTATATATATATTTATATAAAATTGCTCCTTCCACTCGCTAGGATCCATCACTCTGCACCAGCTCAAAAACAAAAAACCTTCCTCTGTTCTACACAGTGTAACTCCTTCCCACTAGAATATTTTGCACAAGAGACATTAAGGTTTACTTGCATTCTCTGTTCAAGTCCAGTCCAGAAAAAATACTCATCTAGAAAACTGCAAACATTCACTATTCAAATCCCTCAGTGATGAGGGTCATCAGAGTACAGCTTGTTTCAATAATGGTTTGCGCTTTTGTCCTTCTTTATTTAGACATCACACCTACAAGAAAACGGACCATAAGAACATCGAACTGACAGAAGTTGGGCCCAGGTTTGAAATGAAGTGTAAGTATGAATGAATAAATCGTGATGAAAGTTCTGACCAATGGGGATTTAATAAACTCATGTCACACACGGGCTTCTTAAACCCTTTTTATTTATTTGACCTTTCTTTAAACAGGTTAGTCAGTTCAGATGGAGGTCTGTTATGTCAACGGGTTAACCTGGTTAAATAACGGTTAATAGCATAAATTCACACCCTTGAATGATTTATGTTTTTATTGCTGTCATTCATCTTCAATGTACAAACCTCATGAATTTTGACTAAAGTTTGCCAAGCAGCGTGTAGGAAACTTCATGGTCGAGTGTTTCTCAGTAGCCGGACCTTGGAAAGATGTTGAGGTTTTCTTCAACAGTGTCTGTCTCTTTGCCACTCTTCCATAAAGCTTAGACTGGTGAAGACTTCTGGCAACAGTTGCTGTATGCCCAGTCTCCCCCATCTCACCAGCTTAGTGTGGTCACAGGTGTCCTCTCACTTTTCTCTTCCTCCCACAGTCATTCAATTTGTGATGACAGCCTGCTCTTGTTAGATTTACACAAGATGGGACATCAATAAAAGGACTCCTGAAGATGAATGCTTGCACCGAATTTTAGTTTAGGGTGACGGAGTACAGGAGACCGCACCTTTTCAAGTTTTATTTGAAAACAGACCATTTTGAAAAATGTCTCATTTTCCTACCACTTCACAATGTTAATGCTCAATAATGCTCATAATGTTACTTTGTGTTGGTCTATCACAAAAAAAACAACCCAGTAAAATACTTGAGTTTGTATTTGTAATGTAACAAAATGTGGGACAGTTCAACGTGCTGTAAAAGCTTTTCAAAACACTTTAGTACTTGATGTACTTTAGTCTTCATCACATAAAAATACATTGATATGAATTTTATGAGATTGGATGCCTGACAAAAGAATTAAGCTTTTTTTTTTCACTACAGAGAATGCACAGTATTTGAAAGTTTGAGTTAGGTGGTGATAAAATCAAGTGACTCTACTCTGATTTCTACTCCGAGCAGATTCTGTGATACTATAAGTCTGAATGAGATACACCCTGATGCCCTCATCCAAAAGGATTTGAAAGGGAACTATCACTTTGGTGTTAATTCAACTTCATCATTTTTAGTCTGTTTGTATTTTTAGTAATTCAAGGTTCTTTATTTGTCATTCGCACCCCATGTGGTACATGTGGTGGAACAAAATTATGTACACAGGGTCCCAGTTACATCCAACGGTAAAATGTAAAAGAAAAACAATAACATGTAAGATATGAACTAAAAAAAACATCAACTAAATATACGCTAAGCACTAGTAGTATAAAAACATTAGTCGAACATCAGCACGGTGTGTGAGCAGATGAGCACCAGTGAACACAGCAACATGAAACAGATCAGCAGCAACATGAAACGGATCAGCAGCAACATGAAACAGATCAGCAGCAACATGAAACAGATCAGCAGCAACATGAAACGGATCAGCAGCAACATGAAACAAATCAGCAGCAACATGAAACAGATCAGCAGCAACATGAAACAGATCAGCAGCAACATGAAACGGATAAGCAGCAACATGAAATGGATCAGCAGCAATATGAAACGGATCAGCAGCAACATGAAATGGATCAGCAGCAACATGAAACGGATCAGCAGCAACATGAAACGGATCAGCAGCAACATGAAATGGATCAGCAGCAACATGAAACGGATCAGCAGCAACATGAAACAAATCAGCAGCAACATGAAACAGATCAGCAGCAACATGAAACGGATCAGCAGCAACATGAAACAAATCAGCAGCAACATGAAACAGATCAGCAGCAACATGATGTTTTCACAGTGATTATCCTGGTTAGAGATTCATGAGTCTAACAGCCTCAGGGTAGAAGCTGTTCCTCAGTCTAGTGGTTCTACACTTAATTTTAAGTAAAGTAATTTGTTGACAGTAACATCCTAGTTGTTACTTTGAATCAGAAAAATATATTTTGATTGTCTGAATGCTCTGTAAGTAATGTCATGATGTTGCTCACTATAAAGTAAATACAGTGCCTTGTGAAAGTGTTCGGCCCCTTAAACTTTTCAACCTTTTGCCACATTTCGGGCTTCAAACATAAAGATATAAAATTTTAATTTTTTGTGAAGAATCAACAACAAGTGGGACACAATCGTGAAGTGGAATGAAATTTATTGGATGTGTCAAACTTTTTGAACAAATAAAAAACTGAAAAGTGGGGCGTGCAATATTATTGGGCCCCTTTACTTTCAGTGCAGCAAACTCACTCCAGAAGTTCAGTGAGGATCTATGAATGATCCAATGTTGTCCCAAATGACTGATGATGATAAATAGAATCCACCTGTGTGTAATCAAGTCTCCGTATAAATGCACCTGCTCTGTGATAGTCTCAGGGTTCTGTTCAAAGCGCAGAGAGCATCATGAAGACCAAGGAACACACCAGGCAGGTCCGAGATACTGTTGTGGAGAAGTTTAAAGCCGGATTTGGATACAAAAAGATTTCCCAAGCTTTAAACATCCCAAGGAGCACTGTGCAAGCAATCCTATTGAAATGGAAGGAGTATGAGACCACTGCAAATCTACCAAGACCCGGCCGTCCCTCTAAACTTTCATCTGGAACAAGGAGAAGACTGATCAGAGATGCAGCCAAGAGGCCCATGATCACTCTGGATGAACTGCAGAGATCTACAGCTGAGGTGGGAGAGTCTGTCCATAGGACAACAATCAGTCGTACACTGCACAAATCTGGCCTTTATGGAAGAGTGGCAAGAAGAAAGACATTTCTCAAAGATATCCATAAAAAGTGTTGTTTAAAGTTTGCCACAAGCACCTGGGAGACACCAAACATGTGGAAGAAGGTGCTCTGGTCACATGAAACCAAAATCCAACTGTTTGGCCACAATGCAAAATGATATGTTTGGAATAAAAGCAACACAGCTCATCACCCTGAACACACCATCCCCACTGTCAAACATGGTGGTGGCAGCATCATGGTTTGGACCTGCTTTTCATCAACAGGGACAGGGAAGATGATCAGAATTGATGGAAGATGGATGGGGCCAAATACAGGACCATTCTGGAAGAAAACCTGTTTGAGTCTGCAAGAGACCTGAGACTGGGACAGAGATTTATCTTCCAACAAGACAATGATCCAAAACATAAAGACACATCTACAATGGAATGGTTCACAAATAAACATATCCAGGTGTTGGAATGGCCAAGTCAAAGTCCAGACCTGAATCCAATCGAGAATCTGTGGAAAGAGCTGAAGACTGCTGTTCACAAACGCTCTCCATCCAACCTCACTGAGCTCGAGCTGTTCTGCAAGAAGAATGAGCAGAATTTCAGTGTCTCCATGTTCAAAACTGACAGAGACATACCCCAAGAGACTTGCAGCTGTAACTGCAGCAAGAGGCGGAGCTACAAAGTATTAACGCAAGGGGGCCCAATAATATATACGCCCCACTTTTCAGTTTTTTATTTGTTAAAAACGTTTGACACATCCAATAAATTTAATTCCACTTCATGATTGTGTCTTACTTGTTGTTGATTCTTCACAAAAAAATTAAATTTTATATCTTTATGTTTGAAGCCTGAAATGTGGCAAAAGTTTGCAAAGTTCAAGGGGGTGAATACTTTTGCAAAGCACTGTAAATCTAACCAGGTTGAGTCAGGTCCTCTGGATGGATTTTTCTTGTTGATTTGTTTCGTCTTTTATCTAAAATACTTCTTCAGTTTGAGGAGCTGTAACAAACTCTTACAAAGTCTCAGGGTGCATTCACACCAGCCCTGTTTAGTCCGCTTTAGTCGAACTCTAGCTCGTTTTCCTAGAAAGTCCGGTTCGTTTAGGGAGGTGTGAACGCACCATCGAACTCTGTCACGGAACAAAAAGCCGAACTCTGGCCCGGCCTAAAACCTAGGTCTTGGTCCGGTAGAAGAGAACTCCAGCGCGGTTCGAGTGCAGTGTGAATATAATCAGACCGAGCCCCGCTCCACAAGCAAGAAGTGGAGTACAGCGCAGAGCAAACAAACGCGCATTTCTCTGACCTTATATGGAGCCGTCAGCTGCCTTGTGTGAAAAACAATATTCTCCATGGTCTTCTGCTTCATCTTCTGCTCATGCCGAGTCCATTTTTGAAAAATGACAAAATATAACTCCTAAAACTGCTAAAACTTGATGCCACTCCGTTTTTGTTTTTATTTCCATAAGAAGAAGAAGTGTCTTCAGAGGTTTTTGTGTCGTTTCTTTCAGTAGTTCTTGGTGCAGCGCCCCCACAGGCGAGCGGGGGAATAGGTTGGTTCAACAGGTTGACTCGACTGCACAGTGCAGTGTGAATGCAAACGCACCAGCTCAAATGTAACAAAAGGTCATGAATATTGGTCCCGAACCGAGTCTACCGGACTATCAGGTGTGAAAACAACCTAAACCTCTAGTATACTGCCGCGTACGTCCGTTCACGCATACGTACGCGTGTACTGTATGCAGAGAATTCAGTCTTCGTACTCCAGCGTCCACCCTGAGCGGCTGCAGAGCAGCTTCACAGACGAGGGGCGTTTATCTTCGGGACAAATTGAGGTCGCCGATTGGTCATTTGCTGACACGCCTACTGGATTGATTGACAGGTCTGAAAAATGGAAGAAGAAAAAGCGAGCGCTGGCAGCCTCAGCTGCAGCTGTGTTCTGTGTTTATATGTTGTTAATAAAAAGATCTAAAAAATAAAAAAAACAGGGAGCGCTGGCTCTACAGCCCACACATCAGACCAGCCCACCAGGAAATCTCCAGACCCTCCCGCAGCCACACTGGACCTGAGTTTAATTTGCTCGTGACAAATTCCTTCATTTCTCACCATTTCAGTCATGGCATCAATGGAGGAGGAAGAGATCACTGCCTCTTGGCAAAAAAACAAAAGAAAAGGCCAGATCAGAGATGAAGAAGAGGAATTTAATACATTGGTGTCCCATACAAAACAGTCCGTCGCTGGGCAGTTTATTGTGCGACACCGCGTACGCGTATGCGGTCGTAAAAATTTGAGCTTTGCACGGACAAGCCCTGGGGGGTACACTCGTACCTCTGCGTACGTACGTGCGTACCTCTGCGTATGGATGTACGCAGCAGTATACTGGGGGCTTCATAGTGGACCAACTGACAACCAGAACTAGCTGTTCACATGATCAAGGAGGACCATCAGCCCAACAATTGGTCGTTAGCGCCCTGATGGCCGCTTGTTATTCACAGAGGGCTGAGTGATGCTTGAGTGATACAGCATTGTGGGGAGGTTAAACACAGAGACCTCGACCCGTTTAAAGATGGACGGGTTCTCTTTTTACAAAGATGACTTCCTTTACTTCTCTCTCAGAGAGGAACGCTAGTTTGAGAGAGTAAAGGAAGCCATCTTTGTGAAAAGAAACTTAATTGTTAAATGGGGCGGAGGCCTCTGTGTTCAACTGTCCCCCTCCTACAATGCTGTTACTGCTGGTATCACTCATCACTTTACAGGTCCCACCTGTAAATGAGTCCCCATGGCTCAATGAGGCTAGCCTGTATAAATTAAAGTTGAGTGAATGAACTCAGCCCTCTGTGCCATCAGGGCACTAATGATCCATTGTTAGGCTGATGGTCCTCCTTTATCATGTGAACAGCTGGTTCTGGATGTCAACAACAAACTGGTTGATCCACTGTGAGAAGGTGATGTTTATAAGACAGAGTTTGTTGCAGCTCCTCAGACTGAAGAAGTCTTAGATAAAAGATGAAACATTTCAGAAAGAAGAATCCGTCCAGAGGACCTGACTCAAGCTTGTTGGAGTTCTGTAAATAAATTGATAATTGTCTTTTTTATTGCTATTTATTCCTCCTTATCTCACTGTTTTCGTTTTATTTTGGGGTGGTGTAAAGCTTTCTAATTGTTTTCTCTCTTGTTTAGTGTACATGATCAAACTTGGCACCCTGGAGAACGAGAAGACGGCAGATGTTGAGTGGCGTCACCATGCTTATACACACACATCAAAGAAAAGGAGGTTCCTCAGTGTGCAGTAGGAGGAATAAGTGTACAGATCTGTTAGAAACAACTTCCTGGGTGAATTTTTGACAACCATTGAGATTTAAAAAAAATAAGTTTAAGAAAATGTGAAAAGTCCTACTTATTGACCAGTAATGTGGATTTTTGCAGTCTGGAGAATGATAAAATGTTGTGTATGCCAGTGGGTTAACTGTGTATATATTTTATTTTATATTAAAAATGTCTTAATTTGCATTTGTCTTATTTTATTTTTGTCAATTTGCTGAAAGTATCCAGTGTTGTAATGTAACAAAGTAGAAATACTTCGTTACTGTACTTAAGTAGAATTTTGACATATTTTGACTTTTTGTTATTTACATTTCTAGCGACTTTCACTTCAATACATTTCCCTTAACCATCTTAGTTACTACAATTTAATATTAGAAGGTATCTGATTGGGCAATGCCTGCTTGTTCTCCCAGTCTGTGCCTTCATGTGGCCACTTCTCTCCCTCACTGACTTTCAATTACAAACCCAGTCTCTCCCCGCCACTTGTGTGAAACCTGCAGCTCCCGCTGTGAACAAGCTAGATGCATTTGCAAATATCAATCATTACAAACGAGCTTTGTTGTCTCGCAGCGGAGACACATTCTTGCTAGGTGTGAAAATGACGGTAGCTGCTAAAAAGGACAAGTTTGGTGTTCTCCAGGACATGAACTGCTTCAAGAGCATAGTTCTTGAAGCAGTTCATGTCCTGGAGAACACTCTTATTTTATCCTATAATATATCCTATATTATTAATCAGTCAGAAAGAAACGAGCCATAACCAAACAAAACCTACCAAAACAGTCCATGCTCAGTAATCCAGGTATACAATCCAACAATTTTCTGTCAGATCATCTGGGCAGTTTCTTTTTTTTGCTGAAGCGTTTCTGTAACGAACCCCTTCTAGTTGGACCAAAATCACCACACAAATGAAGAAAATTAAATAGTATTTATTTAATTGGAGAGATATTGCAGATTGGACCGGTTCTGATGCTGGTTCTGGTTTGGGTTTGGGTTCTGGTACTGGTTCCGGATCAGGGACAAGTCTATGAGATAGAGATCGGTTAGTGGTCGTGCAGGAGATTATGGGGAGCAGAAAAGTCAAATAATGCCTTAGTGGTCCTTCTTATGCCCCTTTTCCATTAGTACCGGTACGGGCCGACTGGACCCTACTTGGCCCGGTTCTGAGGCTTTTCCATTAGTACCGGTACTTGGCACCTGTTACTATTTTCAGTACCCTTGGCTCTGTGGTTCTAACCGGTACGAAGAGGTACAAAAACGTGACGTCAGAACACTGTCGGTCACTGATTGGTCGGGGGCGGAGTCACTGGATCTTTCAGAAACGTTTCAAAACAATAATCCGCCATTTGCAATTTCTCGGACTGGAGCAGCAGCTGGACTTATTTTAAAGATTTTTAAAACAATACTGACAACATCTTGGTCTAATGTTGATGTGCTGGCATTTTTTGTGCTTGGTGGCCGACAACATAATTCAGAGCAAGCTGGATGGAGCTCTGCTGGTGTACCCTATCCTCCCTCCAGAGCCTCCGAGCACCAGACCGGGCAGGGCGTCATCTCCCCGGCTCCAAGTTCAGCTGGTCACCGCGGAAGATCCTTCGATGTGCCGACTCGGAGGCTCAGGTTCCGGATACCAGCCTTGTGTGCTCAGAGCTCTGCTGGTCACTGCGAAGCTGGAGATGGGGACTCGCTGAAGGACGTTGCCAGACCCCGGCCACGCGTAATCATGAAGGCTGAATCCCGATCCCACCCGGCAGTCAGGCGGACGGTGGAAGCGATTTTTAAATAAAATAATATTTTGTTTTTATACAAAAAATGTTTTAAAAAATTGCTGAAGCGATTTAAAAATCACTATTATTTTTTTACACGTAAAATGTTTTTTAAAATCGCTTCCACCGTTCGTTGCAGACCCGTCTCTGCCCGCCTGTCTGCGCGGGTCGGGCTTTCATGATTACACGCGGCTGGGGTCTCGCAACGGCCTCTGTCAGTCACCAGCTGAGCTCGGAGCTGGGAAGATGAGCCTGTCCGTCTCCGGAGGAGAGGATCGTCATAAAAATATAATTATATATATTTTAGCGTTGAAGATTAAAAAAAATAAAAAAATAAACGGTGCCAGCTTCATCGTGAAATCCTGTTTTCACTTTAATGACTGTTAACTCAGCTGAAAATCATAGAAAGACACAAAACTATTGGATCTCAGGAATATTTCCCTCAAACATGTTTAAAGAAAAGAGACGACCTTCAGTTCAACTTTATTTTAACTCACAAATGTACAAATCACAAAACAAGAACTTTAAAGCAAAGCTAAAAATAAAATGTATATATGTGAACAAGAAAGAAAACCACACATTTAAAATGAACATTAAGTGCAAATACATCAAATGATGATGAAAACCTATAAAAATTTAAATCTAATGTTTTTGTAGAATCTGGTTCATCGAGATATATATATATATATATATATACATATATATACATATATACACATACATATATACACACACACATATATATATATATACATATATATATATATATATACACACACATTATATATACACATATATATATATACACACATATATACACACACATATATATATATATATATATATTTATACACATGCACATACATGCATACATACATACACACAACTTCAAAATAACATAAATTCTCAACCTGTACTGAAAACAGTTTCTGCGTCTCAGCGCCACCAGCTGGTGAGAGGTGGTGACGTCAATTTGAACCCCGCCCTCTGGAACCGGTACTGAAAGCATAATGGAAACACAACCTGTACCGTACCGAGTAGAGTAGAGCCGTGCTGTACCGGTACTACAGGTACTAATGGAAAAGGGGCATAACTGTCTCAGATGATCCTGGGGGTTCTGGAGAGTTAACGAAGTCCAAACTGATCCGGACCGCTGCAGGAGGGGCTGAGTCCGGTGAGGGGCTGCAGCTGGCCGCAGCGACAGGTGGGTGGTGAGTCCGTTGGGCGCAGAGATGTGGTCACACAAGCCTGGGTCCAAAATTGGAGAGCAGATGACAGGAGGTACTGGAGGAGAAGACGAGGAGGCGTAGTCGTGCAGGCAAAGGTCAGAACCGAAGACGGAAGACGTGGTAATCCCAAGGGGTGAGCGAAAGACGATGTCCAGGTAAGTCGTGGGTTCAGGAGCCGGGAGGTCAAGCCAAGAGGGAAGGACATGAACCAGGAGAGGGACAGGAACGTGGAGACAGGTAAACTATGACAAGGGGACATGAAAGGCTATAGGGGAACAAGGCAGGATGAGTAACGCGAGGTATCTACTTACAGTGAACTGTTTTCAACTACCGGGCACCTAAGAGGAGAAAGAGTGCAGCTTTTAAAGGGTGAGAGAGACAGGTGCAGCCAGTTGAGTTCAATCAGCTGCTGCTGGCTGCAGTGAAGACAAAACTAAACAACCGTGACATCACCCTCAACCAGCATGCAAAGAAGACAAACTAAAACTCATGTATATATAAACAAACATTACCTGAGTGGACAGAATAAATGAAACTTAAAGAAAATATCTATTGCAAACTTTAAAGGGTGATTAGGGTGACAGAAAATATCATCTATGGAACATGATTCGTGACAGTTTCACCTTCTATCCGGAAGGCTTCATCAGTCAAGGAAACACAACACCAAACGCTGGTTACGTACTGTAACCCCAGATTCTATGAGTATAAGCGTAGCCCTTTAAGGCTGTCGCTTAGTGGGTTTTATCCCAATATGCAAAGCATTACACTGAAAAGTTTAGTCCAAGCCCACCTGCTGTGTGGGCCCCACCCGGTCCGTATAAATTACGTTAAGAGCGGGTAATCCGCTCCCAAATAGCTTTTTCTTCAGCCATTTAGGAGCCAGTGAGGCCCGACGCTTAAAGGGCTACGCCTATACTCATAGAATCTGGGGTTACAGTACGTAACCAACGTTCTATTTCATATAGGCTTCACCCTTTAAGGCTGTTGCTGATGGGTTAAGGGCGAAGCAGATGTGGTCCTCGCCTCACTGGGTCCATTCGAACACTGTATGAAGCAGAAGCTTGCCCAAAAAAGTCTTGTCACTCAGCTCCCCATGTACATAATTACGCATTGCGTAATTATGTGTGCCATGCACATGTTGTGTAACTATGCGTTCTGAATGCATGAACGCCCCGGAAAAGTTTCAACGTGGAGGGAAGATGTTGAAAAGGAGCCATGAACCAACCGGTTTACGGTTGAACAGTATGAACAGATTAATAATAACAGGAGAGCTGATTATTAATCAAATGAACTGATTGGTAACAATAGTCATGAACTGATTAGTGACAACAGAACCAAAATAACAATCACAACTTGTGACTGATAACATCTCACACTGTAATGCATGCAGACAGATGTGAGTTAAACGGAGTTCCATGAAACGACAATAATCATTCTGTTAAAACACTAAGGACAGAATGTGTCATGGAATGAGCCGTCACATCACGTAGATAAAAGCGAATAAATGAGCAGGGTGTTGACCACGCGGCCGCAGTGCTAATGTCCTGCATTGTCATACCATTATGCAAGGCAGTCGAAGATGCAATACCCCTGATCGAGTGCACCCTGAGGTTGACAGGAGGCTCTAAATCTGATGCTCTGTAGGCTTCAGAAATGGCCTCACACGGCCAGTGTGACAGGCGCTGGGTGGATAACGGGCGACCTGCAGATGCATCTCTATAACGCACAAACAAATGTTGAGTTTGACGCATTGCAGCTGTGCACGCTATGTAACATGTCAACGCCCGCACTGGACAGAGAAGATGGAAAGACGCTTCTTCCTCTGATTTGTGGGGGAAAGGGAAAACCCCTCCAATGATATCGCTTTTGATTTAAGAGCTCGTGATGTTTTTAGGCATAAAAGCTGGATTCAGTCTTAGATCAGCTGAGCTGCCGTCAGCCTGAATTCTGAGACATGACAGAGCGACAGAGAGGGCAGATAAATCACTCACCCTCTTAGCGGATGTTAAAGCCAGCAGCAGGGCTGATTTAAGAGACAAGAATTTAATTGGGACCTGATCCAGAAGCTCAAATGAAGCTTTGATCAGAGCTCGCAGGAACAGCGTTATATCCCACTGTGGAGCAAGTGGGTGTGAAAACAGGCCTGCGTCTTTGTACACCTTTTACAAAACGCTTCATCAGCGGATGATTAAAAGCTGTTCTGTCTCCGAACCCTTTGTGGCAGGAAGAGATGGCTGCAGCGTATGTTTTAATCGTGCTGAACGCCAAATTTCTGTCCATCAGCTGTTGCAGAAAGGACAGCATGCCACCTAATGGACATGAGGTGGCCTCTACACCCTTCTCTGTACACCAGCGCTGAAAAAACTGTTCACCTGATGTGTACAGCGCTGTGGTAGATGCAGCACGTGAATCCTAGATTGTGCGCACTACATCCTGTGGGAGACCCATCCCCTCTAAGCGGGTCCGCTCAGCTTACAGACTGGCTAAAAACAGACAATTTGATCATTGAATGATGTTTTATTTCAACATTGTGTCATCTTTCCACACACCCTCCGCAGACCGTCATTTTGAATCTTTTCGCTCTGAGATTTGTTGGCCCAGGGCGCCATCTGCTGGGGATCTCTGGGAAAATGTTGGACACTCTGTTGCCGGGATGAAGAGAGCCGGTCTCTGACGGGCGGGTTTGCGGTGACGTTCAGCGAGACGGCCGTGGAACGTCTTGCCACCGGCTCATTTCGTGTGGAGGATGTGAGAGGGAGCTGCTGTCAGGTCATCCGAGCTGACAGACTGGCTACAAATAGACATTTTCATCATTAAATTATGTTTTAATCCAAACTCTTGTCACCTTCACACACTTCCTCCGCAAAAACCGTCATTTGCTCTGCCATTTGTTGTCCTAGAGCGCCATCTGTTGGTGGTCTCAGGGAAACGCTGAAAACTCCGTCCTCCGGCTGCGATGCGGGCTGGCAGACAGCAAAATTGGCGCACCAGTTGAGGATGACGTCAGCTGCCCTGCAGAGGGAGCGTACGTCTCTTCCCACCTCTGAACGTCTACGCCAACAGCGCAACGTGTTGTTCGCTGTGGCCGTCTGAAACGCATGCTGGTGAGCTCGGTCGGAGAGCGGTGTCACCGTCTGGATTACGCTAACCGGAGGCGTGGGACGCTGGTCCACCTGGACATCTTGCTCCGAGAAACGTCTCAAGTCAGGCTCGGCTCCAGGGGGCACTGAGGGAATTTCCGCTTAGTGAAACCCCTCTGCTCTGGTGATGGGCGCGGACTGTGGAAGCCGGCCCCCCAATCTACCAGGAAAACGGCTGTGGCCTCGTCCCCATAGGACGTCCTGTTGGGAAACCGAGGCCAGATGGGATCAGGACGGCGAGCCGGGATGGAGCCCAGAAAAAACCTTCCAGCCGGATCATCCGAACTGGCGGGAAAGGCGCGGGATGTAAAAAAGGGTCCCTTCATGTCAGCCGCCTCCTGGGTTACGCCGGGCAACCCCAGAGGGTGCCGTCGGCCGGGAGCAGTGTGATCGCTGATGCGAAACGAGGTGGGATGAGGTGAGCATTTGCTCAGCCCCCCTCCACCGACACTACGCTCTCCAGGAGGGAATGAGCAGCGGGGCTGCAGCTGACGCTGCCTGTCCTGGAGGAACCATCTGATTCGCTCCGAGGGTCGGCGATAAGAGGAAAATTACAAGAGGGCGTTGTCAAACATGTAGCAACCTGTCACTGAGAAATACTCCTCGGCGCTTACCTTGAAACAAGACTGCTCGTCAGCTTCTCCTCGGGGAGGAGAGCTCACCGGGAAGACCGGAGTTCGACGTGACGGGCCAAGCAATCTTAACAAAGGTTGGTCATCTACACAACTTTCCTTCTTCGTTCTTCTGACAGTGCTATTAGCTTGCTGAAGAAAAATGGGAGCCGATTACCCGCTCTTAACGTAATTTATACGGACTGGGTGGGGCCCACACAGCAGGTGGGCGTGGACTAAATTTTTCAGTGTGATGCTCCACATATCGGGATAAAACCCATCAGCAACAGCCTTAAAGGGCGAAGCCTATATGAAATAGAACTGATTCTTCCCCCAAACAGCTTACTCCAAAGTGGAAAAAAAGTCTTCAAGTATCGGACATTAATGTACTTAAGTTTCAAAAGTAAATTTATATT